TAAGATAAAATTTTGAATAATTGCTGTTTACTATTTTGAATAGTATACAGGTCCAATTTTTAGTATCTGAAATATTTTAATCCATATGTTCAACTAAACTCATTATCATTTGGTTTTTGATAATATTTTTTCTTTTTCTTCTTCCTAACACCATGTCACGTTAAGATACAATTTTGAATTATAGACTATTACAGAGAGGATGAAACACTGAACAATTCCCTCGCTTACAGTATGCAGGTCTGATTTTTAGTTTCTGGAATATTTTAATCCATATGTAAAAACATTTCAGTTAGTAGATAGATCATAGAAATAGACTCTAGCCAACTTTATTCGGGTTTTCGACACTAGTTTATCATTTTCGCCTCTCTAAAGTGGCGTTGTGTTGAGTAATAATTTTGAATAATAGCTCATCACAAAGAGGATAAAATGATGATCATTTCTCTTGCTAACAATATGCGTGACCGAATTTTAGTTTTTGAGATATTTTAATCCATATTCAAAAACACTTCAATTAGTCGACTCTAGCCTACTTTTACTGAGTGTTACACATCGGAGATCTGATGGCTCAATCTAATTCACTCTCTACAAAAAAAGTGAAAAACAGGCCTAAAGATATTTTCACTTTAAAACAAAGTCTGTATTCAGTCAGTTTCTCTATTAAACTACTCTCAACCAAGAAACATTTGACTGTAGAACTGTGTTGGGGATACTCCGAAGATAAACATACTCAAAAGTCCCCAATCCTAACTCGGCCGCTTCATTGTAGGGAGGGAGAGAGACGCTATAATGGTCCTTTTTTTTCCTTTAAAAACAAATCTGGTGTGTCCACTCACACGAATTTCTTACCTATTTCAGAAAAGTTTTTATATCTTTACATATGTTCATGAAGAAACCAAAAAAATTGAATCACATTTATTTTCCTGAAAATTGATGAAAAAAAATGTTTCAGTACGATTTATCAGTATTTAAAAAACTAAAGCAATGTAAACAGGCTTAAGATAGATCAGTGTAAAAATTCCAATACCCTTTAATATTGCTTATCAAAAACTTTTTGCCATAGCCTAATTTTGTCAAACAATAATTTCTGTTAAATGTAGAGGAAATAGTGAAGCTTGTATGATGCATGAACAGATTTTCTTACTTTCACTAGTTTCTTTTTTCTCAAATTCACCCCTCTCTGGCAGCCAGGAATGAACCTGTGATCTTCACATTGGAAATTGAATAGCTGTAACTTCGTTAATAGCCGAAATGGACTATTTGTATACAGTTTTGTAGGGAATTTTTTTAAAAAAAACAGGCACCCTAATATTCTACAAAAAAAAAAAAAAAAGAAGCAACAAAATCGATTCTCTAATTCCCGAAAAAATCTTGGCACAACCAGACAGACAGATCAATGGCTAAAAATGTGTTTTTTCTGATTCAGGGGCTCTGAAACGTATAGATCCGTCGAAAACCGCACATCGGTGTAGGTAGGAAAGTAAAAACAAGGTGTGTGATTTAGACGACACGATAGAAGTGAAAACATTAACAAGTCGAGATTAATAATTTGAAATATAATTTTTATTTGTTCTATATACACAAAGTAATAACACTTAAAACATATTACAATTATTATCATACCGGAGAATTTAATAATTAATAAATTGGAGAATTTTGGTACCACTGTTTATGTAATTAAAATATTTGTATAACTCTTACATTGTAAATATAATTTTTCTTATTTTCCTTTATTTGTATATAAATAGATTGAAATATAATTTTGTTATGAAACACAGACTCATCTGACGGTCAACAGACCATGTAGCACAGACCATTTTCGGTTCTAAATCCAAAAATATTATTTTGTAATTTTGATGAATAAAAAGACTTTTTCTTCTCCTAATTGTATATAAATCACTGTAGTAAACTTTGCTCTGACTAATCGTCATTTGAAACATTCTTTAAAAATGATACAATAGGTTTATGATAAGTAAAATATGTGATGATTACTTTTGGTTGATTATTTGCTAAATATCTAACGAAGACACCGTCATTTTTTTAATATAACTTCTAAAATGGAGGTCAGTAATTTGTCGAAACAGGGCAACAGAAAATCGTATAGAAACACATAATTTCTTATTTTTGTCCTTACTTAAATAAAAAATCTATATCGAATTCCGCAAATTGATTTCTGAATTTTCCATGGAATTTAAATTTTGAGATATTTTAATCCAGCTGTTTAAAACATTCGTCATTAGTTATTATCTTTTTCCCTTTTCAATAATCTAACTCGACGTCACATCAGAATACAATTCACACATATTGAATATCATGGTAACTAAAATATATGATGAATATGTTGATTGAAACCTATTTTCTAAATATCTAACAAAAACTCCGTAATTTTTCGAAAATTCAACAACTTTGTTCGAATTTCTTATTTGTATGGCTAATTAAAAAAAAATCCAGACTGACTTTCGCAAATTGGTTTCTTCATGGCGTTTAAATTTTGAAATATTTTAGTCCAAATGTTCAAAAGTGGTTATAATCTTGTTCTCTTTCCGTCTGTCTGACTCGGCGTCACATCGAAATACAATTTCGAATTATAGCTAATAATAAAGAGGATGAAATGCGAAAAATGTCCCTCACTTGTATTAAGCAGATCTGATTATTAGTTTCTGAAATGATTTAATCCGAAATTTAAAAAAAAAAATTGGTTATAATTTGCTTTTCGATAATATGTTTTCCCTTTTTGGTTCTCTAACAATTCTTCGCATCATGATACAATTTTGAATAAGAGCTCATTATAAACAGGATAAGATGCTAAACATTTCCCTCGCTTACAGTATGCATGTCCGATTTTTAGTTTTTGAGATATTTTAATCCATATCTATAATAAAACTCGTTATAATTTGATTTTCGGCACTATTTTTTCATTTTCTCCCCTCTAACAGGGCGTGACATCATGATACAATTTTGAATGATGGCTCATTATAAAGAGGATGAAATAATGAACAATTCCCTCGCTTACAGTTTACAGGTCAGATTTTTCGTTTCTGAGATATTTAAATCCAAAATTTATTTACTACACGGTCGAGAGCCATCTACCAGCGTCAGATGTGGTTTCCCTAGAACCGTGAATCACATACTCGTGGATTGTGAATACTATGCAGCCACAAGAAAAAACCTCAATCTAGACAATACTCTTCAGGAAATACTGCAAGATACCGAGAAAGATGTAGAAATTCTGATAAGATTTTTGAAAAAAAAAAACGGGATTCTACAATAGAATATAAAGAAACTGGAGTGAAGAAAGAATTAGCAATGACCCTATCGGGTAGAGGCAAACTCAGATAATAATAATAATAAAAAAAAAAAAACCAAATGCAAAAATTTATCCGACATTACTCGAATGAGCGTTACATAGTCCAGCCTGACGGCTGAGTCTAATTCAATACCCACAAAACAAAGTGCTTCCTAAACAAATTTTCACTTCAAAAATACTTGGACTAAATTTCATTATATATATATGTACTCTTAGTACATCCACTCTTATATACAATACTCTTAGTAATCCACAGCGGATATTCTATAGTAATATTTACTCTATATATTTATTATGTTGCTAATAACAATTATATGTATTACTGATACCTGAGCTTGAATGAAAAGTTAATCTTTATTTTTAATCAGTAATATCTCAAAATTGCAATATTTTCAAAATAAATCATTCAATTCTAGGATAAGCAGATGGTACAGCCTACTTAGAAGCAATCAAGAGGACATAGAGAGCCACGTTAAATCTCTGATAAGAGCAAATCAACCTTCATGTAAATGAAGATAAAACCAAGGGCGTGATAATAGTCTGGAAATTCAACGCCAACAGGATTTATATAGAACGAAAATCGCAACCAAAAGAATACAAATTCAAATACCTCATCTTAATAAATGGATCTGTATAAAAAAAGTCCAAACCGAGCTTTGTTCTATCTTTTAAAGGTATTGAAAGCCTAAATTCGCAATCCTACTCCACCCAAAAACTTTTAATTTTACTTATCTATATATGCAATGTATAGTAAGAGTAAGTATTGCGATCGTGAAAATTTTGGAATTTGAATTTTCAGTGGAAATACTCGTTTTGAGGTCCCCTGAGTCCAAATAACCAAGTCCCGCAAAATGGTTTGTGTGTGTGTGTGTGTGTTTACAGTCTAGCTCACAAATGAAAAGCCGTTAAGCATATTTAATGTTTTTATATGCTAGGGGTGTTGCAGCAACTTTTTCGCCAAAATAGTTCCACATCCTGAAAGTTTTTTTTTCTATCTCTCTCTAAGATCATTTTCTATAGTAAAATTTTAATATCGATATAAATAATATCGACTAAAGTAAAATATTTTCTTCCAACATGCTTACTAAAACAACACTGGAAAACCAGAGTAGGGGTTTTCCAGTTCTAAGTGAAACACCTGTAAGTATATAATTTTATTTAATTTTTGGATTTCCTTTTTCTTTTCTTTATTCACAATCCTATATGTCTACTATTTCATATTATATCATTTTCTTTCAATCTCTCCTGTAGATCTATAGAAGCATATTCATTTTTACATATATTATACATTAAACTAAAACAATCGTTAGCATCTATTTACTTCAGTTTAGGATCCTGTTACTTAGCTTATTCTGTTTATATTTTAATGTACTTACTGTTTATAATTTTAATAAGCTTATTCACATTGTTTATAATTTTGTCTAAATATTATGTAACTTCCACAATTCTCTACCTTTTTGTATCTTTCTAGCCCTGAAGAAGACCTGCAAAGTCGGGTCCAAACGTTGACTTTTAATAAAATAGTTTTGTCACTATTTAGCCTATTTATGACCGCCAGCCCGGACTCCTTCCTTTATAAACATTCGTAGTTTCAAATTCGCCTTCTCCAAGCCTTTCTTTATTTTAATCCCTCAGTTAAGGAGTGGACTATTAAAATATTGAATATTTGCCATCAAGGAATATAGGACACCGCAGAATGCAGAGAGTACTGCAGAGGAACACCAGACAAGACGTCCCGATAGATGACAGGCTGTTTGCTCAGACTGTTTGCGCTATAAGCCAGTATTTTCTGCTTGCCTTTCTCTCACAACTCTCTTTCTTTATAGAGTATATAGTTATAATATTTCTTATAAACTATAGCTTTAATTATAATATATTGCAAGTACAACCACAGATGGATCTAAGGGGGGAGGGGGAGGGCTGAAGCCCCCTCTCCCTAAAAAAAAAATGGTAAAATATAACCATGTTTTACAAAAAAAAATATTAAAAACTATCTCCTAATTTATTCTTATTCCTGTAATCACATTTAATATGACTTATAATATGACTTAGAACTTGGGACCACTTAAACACCATTTCATATAGGTAGTTAATTTCTTTATTTTTTTTCAAATTAATTACCGTTATTTTTGTATGAAAAAAAAATCTTTCGGGCTAAAGCCCCCCCTCCCAAAATTATATTTTGGATCCGCTAGTGCTACAACCACAGGTGTATCTACAGAGGTGGAATTTCGTGCTTAAGCCCCCCCCCCCCCTCCTCTCCTCCTCCCAAAATGATAAAATACAACCCTATTTTATGAAAAAAAATATCACATATCATTAAAAGTATTATTGTTAATATAATTACATTCAAAAGGTCCTTAAGAGTCATTTAAGCCCATTTTCATAAAGATAGTTTCTATCTGGATAGATTTTATAGACCACTTTTTATCAAATTGTTAACAACCGCTTGAAACTTCGTTAATAGCACCATATTATCGTAACTTACATCTTTTTTATTTACAAAAACTCTTGGAATTAGGGCCTTTTCAATCTGGAGATCGGCAAACTTTGTCTATTTAATTATGTACAAAAAACTCATATATATTTGTTTTCTTTCCACTAGGATCGTAAAATAATTTGATCAAAAAATCTAGGAAAAAAATAACCTCAAAAATCTCGTTATTTTGACGTCGGGGTGTAGGTCACACAAACAGCCCAATATTTATGAAAGCCACCTTTTTTTATCGATTTTGTGATCAAATTATCTTGCTATTCAAGTGGAAAACAAATAGATGGTTATGAGTTTTTAGTACTTAGTTAAATATACAAAGTTTTCTGATCTCCCGATTGAAAACGCCCCTATTCCGAGAATTTTCGTAAATAAAATACTTGTAGGAGATGAAGCTCTTTAAAAAGTTTCAGCCGGATGTTAATAATTTGACAAAATGGAGGGTTCTGTTCCACAGGCTGTAATATAGTGCATATTTATACTATTTAATAATTGAAATAGTTTTTGTCCAGGTCTGCTTTAAACCCGTTTTTAAGAATTTTTTTTTAATAGTTTTTACATTTTTCACCAAGGTCAGAAAAGTATATTTTATACTTTAGATTTCTTAGTGTATGAATGGAAAAGAAAATTCCCTATTTTATATTTAAATTATTATTATTTTTGCTTTTACGCTACTGAAGAAAGATCGACATGCGAAGGAGGGGGGAGGGTTGAAACTTTCCAATTCTTTTTTAGGCTATAAGCTATGGATTAGTTTCATTGTATAGTCTCCCCCCGTGGGTTAGAATGAAGAAGAAATACATTATTAACAATCGAATATGCTCATTAGCTCCCTTCCTTACTTTCCTCTACTTAACCTCAATAAATGTCCCATCCATTTTTTTTCCTACAGTAAAAAGCCTAGGAGTAACCTTTGACCAGAACCTCTCCTGGAATAACCATATCTCCCAGATTACCCGAAAATCGATAACTGCCCTTAAACAACTCCCAAGATTTCGTGATTATATTCCTCTAAATACCAGGCAGTTTCTTGTAACCTCCCTTATATTACCTCACTTCGACTACGGCTGTTTGGTGAATGGAGGGCAATCTGCCAGGCTAGAAATGAGACTGAACTGTTTCATAAGATACATCTTCGGGATCTCCAGGCGTTTGCATGTATCATTCTGGTACACCGAGTTGAAGTGGCTCTATCCTACTTCCCGACGACAATTCCTTCTTGGCGTTTTCCTTTTCCAAGTCTTCAAAACCAAAAACTCTCCCTACATCCTGGAACTCCATACTCTACATTCCTCTATCAACTCTCTTAATACCAGATCTCAACTTCTTCCATCAGCAAATCCTTCATCATTCGTACTGCTTCCTTATGGAACTCTCTTCCTACCTCCATACGTCAATCCTCTTCCACAAATTCCTTCAAATTTCCGCTAATATATAAAATTACTTGCATCTGTACACTGTTTAATTTCAATTTACTGCACATTTTCAATCACAATGAACAGTTAATTAGTTTGTATTTTTTATTATTCAGTATTCAGTATTGTATTATTTATTATTGTTTGTATTTTTATTATTTATTTTATGCTTCATTGTTGAAACTATAAAACTAAATACGACAACGTTAATGAAAGCCGGTAAAGAACTTTTTTTTTAAATTTCTTTATTGATTATTATAACAATCTGTCTGTTGGACATTGGTTATAGTGAGGTAGGATGACATTCACACCATATGTACAAAAAAATAAAATAAATAGAACAAAATAATAATCAAAAGTCACGGTAAAGAACTAGGACTCGAAATAAACGTGGATAAAACAAAATATATGGTTAGCTGCAAAAATGGCGATACTACTGGTGATATCGATATAGATGGTAATATGTTTGAACAGGTAGATAGATTTAGGTATCTAGGTTCTACGATAACTAGAAAAAACGAAATTGAAGAAGAGATTAAGGTTAGACTGAAGGCGGGGAATGCTTGTTATTTTTCTGTGACAAAACTACTCAGTTCGCGCCTCTTGTCCCGAAACTTAAAAATTAGAATCTATAAAACAATTATCTTGCCTACAGTTCTTTATGGATGCGAAACTTGGCCGCTTACATTAAGGGATGAGCAGCGTCTTAAGGTTTTTGAAAAGTATTGCGTAGAATATTCGGACCGAAGAAGGATGAGTTAACCGGAGAGTTCAGACGGTTACACAACGCCGAATTGCGTGAGCTGTATCCGGGTAATATAATTGAGGTAATTTCATCGCGGCGAATCAAATGGGCTTGTAAAGTTGTTGGGCTTAGTAACGAGAGAATTCCTAAAAGGTTAATATTTGCTGTGCCGAATGGTAAGCGTCCGAGGGGTAGACCGAAGCGAAGGTGGGAAGATTGCATTAAAGCCGATCTGAAGGGACTGGGTTTGGACGGCGAACGGTGGAGGGAGGTGTGTAACAAGCGATTGGTGGTGTCGGCATCGAACCTTCGGGTTCGCTAAGCCTTATTATTATTATTATTTTATGCTTCATTATGCATTTTCTCTGAATCTAATAGTTATAATTTAAGACAGATTGATTCATTTAATTTTATTTTATTGAACAGAATTGATCGGACCTGACAGAAAACCATCTATTGTTCAAAATCTTATAATCGGTTCTTTAGCTGGAACCATAGCTATAACGTTGGTCTACCCATTGGATTTGTCCAGGAAAAGGCTGCAGATTCAAGGTTTTCAAGAAGGGAGAATAGGTTTTGGAAAGGTAATTAATTAATGAAATAAGGTTATTTATTATATGAGATTTATACATACATTTGCTTGTGTTATGTAGGTTAATGAAATATATTCTAACTACATATAACTAATACAAAAAAATAAAACCTAACTATAAATATAACCTACCTTTCCATTTGTTCACTATCTAAATTTTGCAGTCATAATATTCTTAACAATTAGGCACATTAATTTTAATTGTTAAATAAAATTTGATGAAATTAATTCTAGATCATTTGTACCCTGTTCCTGAAATTTCATAAATTTTCTCTCCTTCAAAAAAAAAAAGGCTTCTTCTGAAAATGTATACATCTTTGGTCCAACTCAAACGAACAATTTATGACATATAAGGAAAATACATTTGGATTTCTCTAACAAATTTGTAATTTGTAACTCCGTTATTATTTTTAGGGGACAATAGTCCCAGAATTATTTTTTTCATTTCATTCAATATGTATGATATATTACTCAAAAGTTGGATTCCTTTAAAAGTTATGTAAACGACACTAATAGTGTAACAGGAATGTCCTTTTTACAAGAAAACACGAGGAAGAAACAGTTTATCGCAACTCCAGTGACGAATAGAAGCGACAATTCCTCGAGTGTTCCAAGTATAATTAAGAATCGGGAAATCCAACTCTCGATACAGGAGGGTCTTGTGATCTGTGGACTGAGGAAGCAGTACGTGGGTTTTGACACGTCGTCACAGGCAGTCACCAGGTTCCGTTACGCAACCTTCTAACAAGCAAGCACTTTTTATTACTCTGTCAGTTTGTGTTCAAATCATTATTACCATATTATTGCCTTTTTATTTTCTTACAATTTCAAATTACAGCATTTTTTTTTTTTACTCACTTTTGCGGTAAACGCACCAATAGTGTACCAATACATGACATAATCCTCGAAAAATGAGAATAATAACATTTCAGGACCTCCTAGACTTCATATATTTATAGTTTCTATATTTTTGGTTTATTGTTTTCAATAATGAACTATTTAGTCCGTAGTCCAGACCCCTTTTTATGGAATTATTAACATCCTCCTGAAACTATGTAAATAACTTCATCTCAACTATTTTATTTACGAAAATTTTTGGATTTGGGGCGTTTTCAATGTGGAGGGGGACAAACTTTGTCCATGTTTCAATTAGGTACTAAAAACTCGCAAATATACATTTGCTTTCAAGTTGGATCGTAAGATAATTTGATCGTAAAATCGAGATAAAAAGGGAGTTTTCAATCTGGAGGGAGGCAAACTTTGTCTATTTAATTAGGTACTAAAAACTCGTAAATACACATTTGCTTTCTACTTAGATAGTAAGATTATTTGAGAAAACAAAATTTGTGACGTTTGGCGTGACCTAAACCCCAAAAATAACGAGTTTATATAGGACAAACGGCCCAATATTTTTGTAGGCCACCTTTTTTATCTATTTTGGGATCAAATTATCTTACGATCCAAGTTAAAAGCTAATGGGTATTAACGAATTTTTAGTGACTAATTAAATAGACAAAGTTTGTCCCCCTCCAGATTGAAAATGTCCCAATTCCAAGAGTTTTTGTAAATAAAATAGTTGTAGATTACGATGAGATGAAGCTATTTACGAAGTTTCAGGCGGATGTTCCTAAACAAAGCGTTTAGGAAATACCTTCAGAGGAAATGTTTATATTTAATAACATAAATATTTACTTTTTTACAGGTAAAGGTTCAAAGAAATTTCCTTGGCCATGTCAGCTATCAGTAGCGGGTCCAGGATTTAATTTTTGGGAGGGGCTTCAGCCCGAAATATTTTTTTTTTCATAAATATAACGATAATTAATTTGAAAAAAAAAATGAACTACCTACATGAAATGGTGTTTAAGTGATTCTTGAAATCCTCTTAAATGTAATTTTACGAAAAATAATATTTAAAGAGATAGTTTTTAATATTTATTTCTATTAGAGTGCTACCATTGGGTAGTTACTCAGCAAGTGTATTCATGTCCAAATTTACTAGATATATTTATTTAAGACAGTTGTAAACGTCATTAAGAAATAAAAAAATATTTATTTCTATAAAACATGGTTATATATTACCGTTTTGGGAGGGCTTCAGTCAGAAAGTCTCTCCAAATTCCGCCTGTGTCAACTACTGATGTATTTACCCTAATTGTGACAACTCTAAATCTTTAGTAACGTGCATAAAGAATAAGAATTTTTTTCTTATTAGACATAATAAATAATTGCCTGTTCCGTCATCATATATCTTTCTGTTCACTATAATTTTTCTCACTCCTTGGCTATGTTCGATGACTGGTTTGGCGAAGATGCTTGAGATTTCGAAATAATTTGTTGCTTAGACATAATTCCTAACAACATGGGATAAATATATAATCTCGAAGCCGGCCAAGCAGTGTACCTAGCCAAATATTACCTAAGTTGTCCTAGGTCAGAGTAAATATGTCCTCATAATGTTATGCATACTGCTCTCCTGATGAAACAAAACAACAGATTTAGAACTCGTCAAACGGCAAACATTTTACTATTAACATACACTGAAGAAACGTACCGTGTTAGAGTAGAAATACGTAAAAAAAAAAAACTAAGGTGTGTGATTTTTTGCGATTAATAATGATAAATATAAATTATAAATAATACATTATAAAAAGTATAAAATGCTGAATATTTCCCTTAATTACAGTATTCAGGTTCGATTTTTAATTTCTGAGATATTTTAATCCTTATCTTCAATAAAACTCGTTATCATTTGGTTTTCGACACTATTTTTTCTAAGCGTATACTCCTAGTTTCCTCTCTCATGTTCCCCCACTTTGACTACAGCTGTGTGGTGTATGATGGCCTCTCTGTGGAGCTCCGTGATAGACGGAAAAGAGTAATGAACAGCTGCGTAAGATTTGTGATCGGGGCCCCAAGATACTCCCATGTTTCTCACCACTACGCTGAGTTAGAGTGGCTTTTCCCCTCCTTCCGAAGACAATATTTCCTAGGCACGTTCCTCTACCAAATCATCAACAACCATCGTCCCCCTTACGCCTACAACCTTCTCCAGTTCAAATCCTCAGTCCATTCCCTGTCTCACAGATCTGCCTCATTCCAAAATTCCTTTATTGTTCGCTCTGTCAATTTCTGGAATTCCCTCCCTATCAAAATTCGACATTCCCCATCCATATCCACATTCAAAACTCTCCTATTCCAATTCCTATCCCAAAAACAGTCAGATAGTTGCTAACCATTCGAGCTGATTTTAATAGAGAATTTGATACATTTTTATTCTTTATTTTTTTCGTAAAAGTGTATACTGGTCTATAAGAGCAAATAGCTTTAAGTATCTTGTCATAGTATTAATGGTTTTGCATATAGTTTAGTTTGTTTTGTATATAGAATTTTTACCTTATATTTTGTTTACATTATTTCTTTTTTTCGATTGATTTTATTTTGGCCAGATGTAATATTTTTATTTTGTTCTATTTTGTTATTCTCAAGGGACTGTGTCCCAGAATAAAGTTATTTTTCTATTTCTATTTTTTCCTTTTCGGCACTCTAACATGGCATCGCGTTAAGATACAATTTTCGAAATAAGTGAATTACTAGGACGAATATCTCGATAATTATAGAAGTTAACGAAAAAAATAATATAACCTTTTTCGTTGAAAATTTTGTCAGCTTTGATTTTACATGGACATTATTATCATTAAAATGCTGATACAAGCTGATATAAAATACTGATATAAGCGATAAACAGAAAAAATTGTACTTTTTGAATCGTTTTATAAATTTTGGCTTAAAATCCACGAGAATAGAGTAACTGACCATTATTTCATCACTTAGGATTGTAAATAATATAAACTTAAAGGATTGGCTGTCTATATATACTGTTTATATATATAAGCCATCTCCACTAGCGGATGAAATATTTAATTTGGGGGAGGGGGACTTCAGCTTGTAAACTTTTTTTTTATAAATATTACGATAATTACTTTGAAAAAAGAGAGAAACTAACTATCTGTATGAAATGGTGTTTAAGTGATTCTTGAAATCCTATTAAATGTAATTACACGAACAATAATATTTTAAGAGATAATTTCTAAATATGTTTTACTTTTTTTTATTTTAAGTTTTCAAACACTAGAGTCATTATTACCTTGTTTTCATTGAAAATTATATTGTATTTTCAAGCTTTTCAGAAAATAAAATAATTTATCAATTTCATTTGCATTGTCCTGTAAAATGAAGTGTAGATCGTTTGTCAAGTCATAAGAGACTCTAAATGTTTCGTAAGCTCTGCAATCTGTTAAGATGTGTTTCACTATTAGAGGAGTCCCACAGGTTTGGCATGTTGACGAAGAATCACGGGCCATCAGGTATCCATGGGTAAGGCGTATATGACCTATAAGCAGGCGCGTAAGAATTACTTCCTCTCTGAGGTTATTCCTATTAGCCGATGCCCAAGAGAAAACGTCACCCTTAACCTCCCTCAATTTTTTTCCTTAAAACATCGTTATATTTTACTATTTTGGGGGAGGAGGCTTCGGTCCGAAAGCCCCCCCCCCCGTGTATCCGCCAGTGGCCCTCTCTCTCTCTAAGTTTCTACCTATATCTTTACCTGGCCGCCATTTTTTATTCCAGATGCTATATGCTGGTTGACGTGATTTTTCTCATTCGCTCCCGGACCAAAATCCATGCAACACCTATTTGTTAGTAATTAGAGGTATGGATTAGTTATCGTAGAACTATTTGTAACAGAATGGTAGACTTGTCATTTATTAATAACATTTGAGATAAGTACATTTTATACAAATTGCATTGAGATAAGACTATATTGAAATATCACCGACTCCTAACGTTCGGCAATCATCACAGAATTACTCTTCTTCCTCTTCCTCCTCCTCATCCTCTTCTTCTTCGATCGCATCATCGTCTTCTTCGATTCCGGATATGATGTCCTCCTCGGTGTAGGGGGACGGCGACCTGTTCATCTGGACCGGGGTAGGAATGACGGGCTTCCTGGGAGGTTCGACGCCCGCCCGCCAGGCGGGTATTTCAGGTCCTTCGATGACGTTCGGTTCGAACTGGGGAGACCTCGGCTTTCTCCAAGGAGCCGACGAGGGGGATTCGGGTGTCTGAGGGGTGGTCGGTTTGGAAGGCTCCGGCTTGGGCTGTTCCGGCCTCAGGAAAGGTTCTGCAGGTTTGGGAGACTGTCCTGGGAAATCGGATGGCCTGGAAGGAAGCACGGGCTGCTTTGGGGGTTCGGGTTTGGTCGGAGTCGACGGTTTGGGGGATATTGGCCTCGTCGCTGGTTTAGGAGATTCCGGCCTCAGTGGCTCTGGTCGTGTCGGAGTTACTGGCTTTGGAGGTTCGACTGGTTTTGGGGGTTCCGTGGGTTTTGGGGTTTGCACAGGTTTAGGGGGTTCGACAGGTTTGGGGGGCTCTGTCTTCTGTGAGGAGGGCTCGGGTTTCGGAGGTTCCGGCTTGGCTGGTTCGATGCTACCACCTGGAGCGTCAGCAGCATCGCTCCTCTTGAACAGCTTTAGGATTAACGGCTTCCTTCAAAAATAAAAAATAAAAATAAATAAATTATAAGAATTCAAAAAAATAAAAATAAATAAATAGAAATAATAATAAAATTAAATAATAAAATAAACTAAAATTAAAAATAATGTAACAAAAATTATAATGAACTAAAAAAAAAATTGAAAAATCAAAGCCAGTAACGTATTCAACGTATAACTATCATAATTCTAAAGATGTTTTCCTGATGTTTCATTTTGATCCTCTCAATATTTTTCTTTGTTCTTTCAACTCATATTAAAATTACCAAGATGAAGAATCATATACTAAATTATAAACATTAGCCGCCAGACATTAGACCAAAAAAAGTATTTGTGGGAAATAATTTGTAAAATTATGGCCTAGAATAAAAATCAAAAAAGTCCCCATCTACCTAGGGGATTAAATCAGCCTATCAGTTAACAGAATGAATAATTATAATTTCAAATTTTTTTATTATTAATTTTATTGGTTTAGCCTCCCAGTGACACGGTTGAGATCTCCTGGAGTCATGCTTTTCCCTCCACAGTTGGAGGGACATGTCTGGTTTGCCGTTCTCTCGCCAGATTGTAAATATAGTATATAGGTATGTATGTGTTATTTTTATTTATTTATTTTTAGGTTATTTTATTCTTATTTATTGTATATATATTATTTTTCTGTATAATTTATTTTATTCATTGTACATAGAGTGTGAATAAGATCTCTGAACACTATTATAAATGTCCTTGAGACAGATTGTAATATTTTTCAATAAATAAGTTTTAAAAAAAAAATTTTGATATTTTTAGTGGGAAAATTTGTACCTTTATTCTTTATTCTTTCATATCGATATTAGCATAATATCGAATTAAAACATTGATACCACCAATATCGAATGATATAAATATCAAAATGAAATTGTTTAGATACTTAACCAATATATCGTCGGTTTAATAAAAAAAGTCATTACCTAAGTGACTTTTATTATACTTAAATCACTTCGAACATTAATGAATTTTCTCTATGTGAAATCAGAACATTACATGCTTGTGATATTTGATAAATATCGATAATTGATATGTAAGCCTTTCAGTTGACAGAATAACTAACTACAATTTCAACATTTTTAATTTTACTTATATTTATAGTGGGAAACAGTCTAATTTTATTCACAGTAATTTATTTTAACACTGCAATCACCAACTCAGGAATAAACTCACTGACTCGCTGTCTGTACAGAAATTATAAATCTTACCACTAGAAATATCCGTATAATTAATAATAAAAGCGCTGCAAATTATTTCACAATGGTTTATTATTTCCAAACAATTATACATCTAAAGTAACATTACCTTCCTAGCGACAAAGAAAAATAAATAAAAGGTGATTCCAATTATTGGACTAAACTTTTTTTTTTATTCATTGATAATATGATGAAAAAATTATCATTAAATCAGTAACACATTCAAAAACCAAAACTAAGGATATAACATTTGCAATAGAACATATAAAAAACATCTAGAGACCCTACTTTGCTCCTAATTGTTAGATTTTAACGATTTTTTTTTTTGTTTTCTAGGAAATTCGGTAAACTTTTAAGCAACTATACATCTAATTTTACCATCCCTCGTAACTTTTTTTCCAGCATCTTTTCGCTGAAGTATGTTATATGGATAAATTTAAACATTATCAAGAATAAGACTTTAGCGAAGTTTCATTGAAATCGGTATATTCGTCTAGGCGGTACAGTCTTTATACCAACGCAGGTTTTTCGGTCGCCATCTTGAAAAGAAAATGCGGATAGAAATGTCGATGAAGGAGAATCATCCTCGGGTGACCTCTTGTTTTAAATCCAAACCGGTCCGTTAGTTTAGGAGAAAACGCGCGGGTAGCGGACGGTGTACGGACAAAATAATTTTTATTCGTTTTTTGAATTTTACGTATCTTGAAATTTAAAACCCCAAATTTTGAGAGCGGGTTAAGTTATTGAATTTTTTGGTCGATCGCGATGGTTCATTATTGAAAATAATAACCCAAAAATGTTCAAATTGGAGTTAGTCATTCTGCCAACTAAAACGCTCAAGTATACCCAAATTTCAAAAAAATAACAAACAAAAACAGATCCCCCCCACATTTCCGTTCCCAAAACTGATATTCTGTGCCAGGTTTCCAATTTTAACTTCAAATACATGGGTCGGGCGGAAATATTGAACTGGAATAAATATTTCGCATAAATCTTTAAATAAAATTAAAATTCAACATTATAATTTGAAATGTCTTCAAGTAATAAATAGAGTGTAATAATGATAAAATATACAATATGTTTTACCTATTGAAATAATAACTGAACAGAGAAAAATACAAAGTATAATTCAAGCTTAATATAAAAGTTCCGAACAATTATTTTTCTTATTTAAATTACTTACAAAGTAACACAAAAATAAAGATGAATCATATTAATAACATATTTTTAAAAAATTTATTTATTTTTTATGAATATGACAGTAGTCCCTGGTAAAGACCCCTTAAATAACATCCGCCTGAAACTTCGAAAATAGTTTCATCTTTTCGTAATCTACAACTATTTTATTTACGAACATTCTCGGAATTGGGGCATTTTCAATTTGGGGACCAGCAAACTTTGTATTTAATCAGGTACTAAAAACTCGTAAATACAAATTCGCTTTTCACTTCAATCGTAACATAATTTGGGCACAAAATCGAGAAATGTGGCCTTAAAAAATATTGGGCTATTTGGAACCTACACTCCAAAAATATCAAAATAAAGAGTTTATTGGCTAAACGGCCCAATATTTTTGTACGCCACCTTTTTTTCTGGTTTTTGTTATCAAATTATCTAACGATCCTAGTGGAAAGCGAACGAGTTATTAGTGTCTAGTTAAATAGACAAAGTTTGCCGACCTTCAGATTGAAAACGTTCCAATTTCAAGAGTTTTCGTAAATAAAATATTCATAAGTTACGATGAGATGAAGCTATCCATGAAGTCTCAGAGGGGCGTTAATAATTTTATAAAAAGGGGTCTGTACCACGGACTATAGCCTGTTGAGATAGGTGCGGTAAAAATTAAGCTCACTTAAGCTGAGTAATATGAAATGTTTACCAACGTTTTAAGCTAATTTGCAGACTCTTACCAAGTCAAACAAGAAACTGAGGAGGGCTAAATAAGGAAAACAAATTTCTTATTCGATAATCTCTTCTACAGTGGAGATGTAAAATAGAGATTGAATCTAACATTCGAAAATTAAAATGAAACTTGTCATAAATTGTATATGAGCTCTTCCATATTATAACTGGCAAAAATTCCCCAAAGAATCCCGCGTCTGGTTTTGGTAGGGAACAAAAAATGGTATTTTTTTGTGAATATTTCAAAAACTCTGAGATTTTTAGCAAAGATTGTTCAGTATAATATTAAAGTACATTAAAATCTCTATAAAAATGAACCATACATTTTTTTTTTTTTGTAAAATCAATGGTTATTGAGATTATTATTATTACAGACTTCGAAAATAACAGAATATTTGCACTGTATCGCAAGTCGTCAGTAGAAGAAATGATTTTGGCTTCCTAAAGATTTATCCATATCGAAATCCATCCAGTATTAACAAAGATACGGCATACGGATTTTTGAGACAAAACAAAGGTCTGTTTTGCTTTAGAACATTTGGTAAATACTTAGATAAAAATATTCTTTGACCAAATCGTCCGATTTTAACTTTTTTTTTTTTAGCTTTTAGGAAATTTAATATACTGTCAAATGGCGATTAAAATGTGAATGCAAAAGTTAATACTTTTTGTGTTTTTTGAAGACTAAATTTTAATGTTGCAATTATTTTTTTTAGCTTCTTTCTGATGAAGTATATTATAGACGTAAATATAAAGTTCTTTGAGGAGAAGACTTTGGCCATGTTTCATTAAAATTCGTTCATCGGTTTCGGTGCTGCATAGTTTATTTTTTTTTTTAATTTTATTTATATTGGAAATTTACTCGTAGAGTCCTAATTCTGGTTTGACTATTTTTATAACTATATACACAGCTTATTCTAGACTAAAAATTTTGGAAAAAGGTTATAAGAGGCTTCCTGAGAGATGAAAGAAGGTAATAGAGCAGAACTGTTTATATATGTGTCACAGTAAATGGTATATATACCATACATTTAAACGTTATTTTTAAAAATATTTTAATCATAAATATCAATTATTGTACTTGACTACTTTCTCAATGGAATCTTTCAATTAAATATCAAGTATAACTGTAATCCTGTGTATTATTGTTAATAACATAAGTATTATCAAGTCGGAACTGATAACGTGTTTCTTTTAAATCAGATACTTTCCTTGTAGGATGTGCCAATAGTATTTCGATATTTGTTTCCTTTCCTTTGGTATGGTTCAAGTATTTGCAAATAGTTCGCAGGTACTTGTTAATTTTTATTTTATTTTACTTAGATCGCGCATCTAGTCCCGGAATTTAAAAACTAGTATCAATAAAACCATTATCTTACCTACAGTTCTTCATGGATGCGAAACGTGTCCGCTTAAATTAAGGGATGAGCAACGTCTTAAGGTAAAAATAAAGTATTGCGAAGAATATTCGGACCGAAGAAGGATGAGTTAACTGAAGTGTTCGGACGGTTACAAACGCCTAATTGCGTGAACTGTATCCAGTTAATATAATTGAGCTGATTAAATCGCGGCGAATCAAATAGGTTTGTAAAATTATTGGGCTTAGTAACAAAAAATTTCCAAAAAGGTTAATATTTGCTGTATCAAATAGTAAACGTCCGAGCGGCAGACCGAAGCGAAGGTGGGAGGATTGCATTAAGGTCGATCTGAAGGGACTGGGTTTGGACGGCGAACGGTAGAGGGAGGTGTGTAACAAGCGATTGGTGGTGTCGGCATCAAACCTCCGGGTTTGCTAAGCCTTTTGTTATTATTATTATTATTTTAGGGATTTTTGTATTTTTATAGTTAAAGCCAAATTTTCAACCAATAA